TTTGCGCTGTTAGGAAGGAACTAAGCGGAAACATAAAGTTTTCTAAAAACGTTGGTAGGATTGCTGAGTGGTACAAGCGAGAGAATAAGGTACAAAAAAATGAAAAAAGAAATGAAAAGAAAATGAAAAAATTAGGATTGTAGGATAAGGAGCGGCCAGAATGACGGTTAACAATACCTAATTGCCTGAGTAAATAACATCTATCGGCAGTAGTTGTCTCACACCTATCAAAAATAAATGGGAAGAAACAGAATGCCGTGAGAAAATACATGGTAAAATTTTGCACATAACGCAAACGGATGAAGTGGCACATCGGCGTCGTGCCAATGTCAATGATCACCTGTATAGTGCGTTAAGTATTGTCTATGCGCGTGTGTAAACGTGTAACAAAAGCAGTTCTAGCCTAGATCTGGTTTTGGTAGAATGAATGTGACTCTTTGAAACATTGCTGTACGAAAAACAACGATAAACAGAATGCGACATCTAGCAGGGCCATAAGACCCTTGGATTTCTTTCTGTTTAGTGATACCTTAGATTCCACAAATTCTACTGAGCGGGCTGCACCATCGGGCATTCATCAAATGCTGGTCCACGAAACTACGACTATGAAATAGAATGTGAAACTGGAAAGAAAAGTAAAATTGAAACAACTTTGACTATTTATGAAGAAATGAAAGACGTGTATGGCGCAGTGTTTGGAGGCGCCACTGCGACACACACGTGGAATCGATCCCGCGCCTATTGCCCACCAAGCTTTCTATTCTTCCGGGGTCCGTAAATTGGTACCAGACTTGTCTGGAAGGATAGCAGCACTAGGTCAATACATCGGTAAGCCACCGCGAGTCATTGTAAGGGCTAGATATGCATTCAGTCACCTCCAACGATGCTTAATGAAGTCGAATGCATGGCGCATCACTCAGGGATTGATCGACGCCTAGAGCTTTATCCTTTTATCCTTTTATATGAAAAAACGAACACGGCACTAGTCATTAGATAAGGATTGGTATAAGATCTTAAGCGTTGAAATTATCACAGTTATTGTGAAAGATGTTTCTAAACGATAAAAAAGTTGGTCAAGGTTTTGAAATAGCAGGGACGTTCCAAGAAGAATGAACTGCATGGCAAGATTCTCGTTTTAATCGATTCATAGATATGATTAATCAATCGTCACTCGTAATTCCATCACTTCACCATTCCATACATCGCGCTACTTTGCTTATTTAGTTGTCTAGAGGACCAGTTTCCACGATTAGAATTGGTCCCAACATTATTTTCATTCAGTTCGTTGTATTGTAAGCACGGAAGTGGTTAGATTTCCACTTAGATTTGAGTGCAACTTAAGTTTCCTCGTCTTCTTTCCTCATTGACACCTTCCGTACTGGAAGTCTTCATAGACTGTCGAGATAGTAGTGTCACAGCGTTTCCAAGTTTTCAACAAATACAATCTTCTGTCTTTGTGAACAGAAAACAAGTTTGATGTTTGATGTTATGGAATTCAGATCCTTGCAAGACAGCAGCGACATTTGCAGCTGTCCTTCTAAATTGCATGATTATCTTATGCCTATGCTCTGTGCCCGTTAATAGTGATACCGATTGCTATACATGAATTATCAGAAGAAAAAGACACGATTATCACGAATCAATCACTATTAACAGCAACCGTCCTGTATAAAAGAGCACTGCCTAGTGAAAGTCTTTATTCGTGCAGTGCCCACTGGATTCTACTCGATGCGATCACGAAGACCAAATTGGGGAAAAGAACAACTGAACAACTGAAACAATCGACTCGGATCAATTCGATTCTGAACAAGGCGAAGGCGCTGAAGCCTTAGCTAAATGAAGTTTTTGTCAACTTAGTATTAGTTTATCAACGGAAGAATATGTATTGAGTAGTCATTTCGAGGTTAAAAGAAAGCTGTTTTTTTAAAATATCCCGCTTGCATTTATTTTTCCTGCACGTATACAACCTAACGTAAAGGATAAAGGATAAAGCTGTCGGCGTTGATTAATCCCTAACGGATACGCCATGCATTCGACTTCATTAAGCAACGCTTGGAGGTGATTGAATGCATATCTGGATTGACTCGTGGTGACCTACCGATGTAACGAGTCAGTGCTGCTATCCTCGCAGAGAAGTCCGGTATCAATTTGCGATACCGAAAGAATAGAAGGCATGGTGAGCCACGGGCGCTAGGATAGATTCCACATGTGTGCCTCAGGGCGCCTCCGACCACTGCGCCACACGCGCCCTGCAACCTAACATAGAGCCTTTTGTGCTTGCGTTACTCAAAACTGATTGAGTTTGCCGAATTAGTGCTTCATTTTTTCATGTTTAGTCTTCACAATATGGGACATGATTTATTATAATCATTACAATAAAAGAAAATCATAACCAACCGACTACGTGGTAAAACACATGAACACCGCGCCTGTAAGTGTCCAGTGAGGCATTTATTTTTGTGGCCAATTCTGTTCATAGGTGCGGTTCTCATAACAAAATTTTAAAATTATCAGCCATCCTAAGTCGGCAGCATCCAGAATGTGTTACCCTTTAATCATCTCCGTTCACACAATATTTTTAACATAGCCATCTAATGCTTGCGTGCTTCCGGGCCAACTCAGTTAACCGCCCGATGAACGTGAACAACTACACAAGTAGAAGAAAACGATATCTTTTTAGAGGCAGCAGCTTAGCAATCTTTACTATTAATCGATTGTTTAGATAGAATTCATGGCTCTATGCTGGGTGCAGATAAGTATCTTTGTTATTCATTTGTCACTTGTCTTTGCTTATAGTTTCACCGAAGTCATAGAAGAATAACTGGAAAGAAACATCGAAACCGCCCATGACCAGATTTGAGCAAGCTGATTCGATTTCACCATTCCGATAGCGCAGAGTGAAATCTACACCATGATCAAACATGAATAGCTAAAAGCTGCTCCTCTTTGTCTAACTGAGGATTTCGTACTGCCATGACTGCTAGACATTCTGTTAAAGTATGTGAAGCTAGAGGGATTTTGAGAAAATAATTTTTTTTCTAAGTTGAAAGTTGAAACTGCGTATTTTAACGAGGGATATCATTCGGCACATAGTAGATAATTTAAAAACGCATACACAAGATAGCTATATACTCATAAAATACAATACAATTTCAAATTCTTGACAGCTCATTAGGCGTGCGGTTAGTGCGGTGTTAGTGATGTCTCGTTCACCAGGAGCATGGTGCTGTCTCGACCTTATATCGGGATCCACGGCTCACCAAGTCTCTCATTCCTCCGGGTTTGGGAAATGGTGTCAGACCAATCAGGGATCCAAATAGTGATGCCCCAATCTAAGCATCCCAAACCTCATAGGGAAATCGACCCCTTTATTGCCGCAAATAACCGTAAAGAGGAAGACATATTTTGCAATCAATCAGTTATTTTCACATTAAACTTGCATTTTTTGCACGCGTATGCAATCTTCACACAGATGATCTAGCAAGTTACCTACACGTTGTCCGACTTCTATCGAAACATTCTAAACAGTTGCGTCCTACAATGGCTGCAACTAGTGCTGACCTTTCTAATATGTACTGTAATTTAATTCCGAACGTGCTGTTCTGTAATAGCTTTGTAACAGCCCACACAATATCTCACCACTTTTGGATTCGCCAGAGACATTCGTGCTACAATAGGTTTCGTTGTTCATCTCGAGATTGCATACCGTCATGGCGAACTTCTACAAATGCTGTTTCCGTACTAGTATTTAAGCTTCCCATGTACTAGTTCTACTCAGTTCCTTAAGAAGATCTTCAAGCAGCATCCACACACACACACACACGTAAAAAGTTCGAAGTACACTGTGGATGATGGATGCTAGGAAATAAATAGAATGAAAGGAGAGCCTATATGCACGGTGGATGTGAAGACGAGTCGTATGGAATAAAATAGATAAGTGAACATCTTATTCACTGTTACGCTCTCCTAGTTCCTGCAGCTAAATGTCTAGGCGATTTAAATTTTTTGAAGGTCTTATTTGCTTGACGAGACTTTACATATTCTGTGGATCCCTAAGCTACTTTCATTAAGTAGTTTGCCTTGCTCCCGTTGTCCACGAACTCCTTCGAATTAGAGAGGGTGTTCGACTGCTAGTTGAGCATTTTGTTTTCCTCATGAAAGTGATGCAACGCTAGACTATTCGAGTTTGTATAGAACCCCCGGAGAGCTGTACTAGCGTTCTCAGGTCTTCATGCTGTGAATAAATCCAATCTCTTCAGGAAGACATGATGTTAAACCACAATGAGTGCACTACTACAAGGAAATAAATGGATGCGATATCTGTAACCTTCGTCCATTTAGTCATATATTATGCTTTTGAAGAATAATGCCACTTTTTTCAGATTCATTCAGATTAGACCTTTTTATCACTTAAAGTGAAGGCCAGTAGAATCTAACACTTTTACGATCATGATGCAGAGTTATTCATTTTCTTGTAATGTTGATTGTGAGTCACATCGTCCAACGCTGCTATTCACCAGAATTGATCTCAGATCAATGTTCACTTAGGTGTTAAACTTCATAGAGCACTTCGATGACTTACGGAGAAAATTTTTTCGTTGTAACGACTTTCACATTTATTAGGTGATTGATTCCACCACGTGTTTTCCGAACATGAGGAAGTCTTGGTAACCCAACTTCGGGAAACACTTAGGGGTCCAGCTATTCCAGCTTTTGCTGAAACATCACCTTTTATTGTTCAGAACTTGTTAAGAAATCACTTTTAGTCACAGTTTAAAATGCACTTAAAAAATGGTTCGCTCTTACTAGCGGAAAAGAGGCATGGGACTGATTTTGTCGCGGCGGCCGCCTCTGTTCCTCATTTATTCTATACAAATTGCTTCCTACCCTGACAGCTACGCTGTCGCGAAAAAAATGTGCTATCCGCAGTCGACAGCAATTCTTCTTTAATCCCGTCTCCACCATACCTAAAATTCCTAGTGAGTCAAAACTCTAATGAGTTAGGTATTCTTCCAGTTTTCAGTTCCGTCCTCCTCAACATCTAGCTCCTGTACAGCACCGTCTCCACTTCGTTCACAGGCGTTGTAAAAAATGGCAGTGAATACTATAAAACGATCCTTGACAAAAATTTCTTTTAAATACATAGGTTCTTCCAACTAAATGAGCATATTGGAGAAGATGTGGCAAAATCAACTACTTGAACGTCTTGAAGGGTCAATTTATCACAGCTTTGCGTACAGCGCACAATGCCGGTCCGATTACATATGAACATCACATACTGCCTATTTAATGTCGATACGTGCCAATCTAATCAGAAATTTATTTGGTTCCGCTTAAAACATTTTAAATCGCTTGTATGGTAAACAGTCTTCTATAAATAACGTGTTTAATTCTGATGAGAGGGCTGAAAATAGTGAAATTTGCACATGATTTCCCGGAAAAACATTTGCCTGGAATTCATCAATGAAGCTGGTATCTGGTAGATCGGAGTACTAAACTACATCGCTAAAACAGTGATCAATCGGGCCGGTGTCGAGTCACATTTCTCGTCTGGATTCAACACGATTGACTGCTCAACAACGAGGACAAAACCTGATTTGGTCTTCTCTATTTATGCTTTCAAGTATAGTACATTTTCAAAAGATTACGTTCTCGATAAAGAAAGAGAATTGTATATATATATATATATATAATATTAGCTTCTTTATTTGCTGCGCTTCACAGTTTTCACGGCGAGCTAAAATAAAAAAAAGAATAAAGCTCCCAGTATATAATGCTGAGATATTTGCAAAACTCCGGACCGCAGGTGAATGCGGTGGGGAATGAACACTCGCTGTTGTCCTTACCGGGGAGCAGCGCACTTCATCTTAGGTCCGAAGTTTTGCAAATATCTCAGCATTATATACGAGTTATATTTCGCAACATACTCTGCCATTAAAAAGAAAAAGGCAGTAAATAAAAGGGTTAAGAAAGCTCTCAGTGTTGATCAATCACTGAGGGATGCGCCACGCTTTCGACCTTATTAAGAACCGTCGAAGGTGATTAAATAAATATCAGGCTTTTACAATAATTTGCGGTGGTCTACCGATGTGTCGAGTCAGTGCTGCTATCTTCTCAGACAAGTTTGGTACCAATTTGCCGACCCCGGAGTGATGGAAGGCTTGGTGGGCCTAGAGCGCGGGGATCGACTCCACGTGTGAGTCGCCGTGGCGCCTCCAACCTCCAGCTCGGCAAGGTATTACGTGAAATCATCCACAATGATGCTGAGATGTTTGCAAAACACAGGGCTTCATGTGCCTGCGTTGGGGATCGAAAACGCCATTATCCTTTCCGGGGAGTAGCGCACTCACCACCACACCATCCTGGTCCTTCGTTTCGCCTTTCTCTCAGCTAGTTTTCTATCTACTAGTGCCATCAGCAATCACCCATCAACAGGATTGATTAGGGGAGTCCACATCGGCATTGAACCCAATTATGCTGAGGATGCAGTCGAAATCACAATGTTAACTTTTTTATTTACCACCTATTACAATTTTCACGCAAAGTATTATGCTATTATTATGGTATTATCAGCGTATTATATATATATATATATTTGAATTCTTAGAAGGGACGTCTTCACAAGTTGTACGGATTCCAGCACGGTTGTTCCTTTCCTCTAATCACCGTCCATTATGGTGGTTTTATTCGAGCATAACGGTGGCGGTTGCAAGTTTTATGTCGTGATTTGTAAAACAGCTGCAGATGAGGGAACAGATGATTGACTTTAGTTATGAACACGTCTGTTCAACGTATAAATAGCCTGCAACTTTGTGGAGTCTACTCTACTATTCTTCTCACCAATTTGCTCTCGGTTCGAAATGAAGGGCCCCTTCTATTTTGTTATCGGCGTATATTCTCCTGGATCCCGAAGATGGAATGAGTTTCGAAGATCTGGACTTCGTATTCCGGTTAGACCGCGTGAGCACTGACTAACTTTTAAAAGACGTCCTTTCACATTCTGTGGGTGGTGTGCATAGTGCTTGATGTTTTTGAAAAATTACTTCACGTCTCTGCTGCATAACAAAGCAATGAGAGGAGTGCTGAATAGAAAAGGTGACAGCCGAGTTTTAGATTCGTTGGTTCGTCGCCGGTTTCTTTAGAAAGCCCGAATGCAGCCCATGCTGCTCTCCTTCTTTTGTTTAATTCTTCTTTCATGTTCTCCTTGATGTTCGCTTAACATCTAAAGTACACTTGCGAGGTGGTCTTCGTAACCAGAGGACCATCCAATCCCATTTGTTCATCTTCGCATTCTGGCTCTTTTGTGAAGTTAGTCTTCGTAATATTTATGCTCACTCCAATCCTTTTTCTGGCTTCGTTGAATTTAGTGACCATTATTTCTGCTTCGGTTTCTTAAAAAGACGACAATGTTGTCGGCGAAACGAAGATTTGATAGGAATTTTCCATCAATTGGCAAGCCTTTCTCATTCCACATGAGTGATTGATGACCCACCGCAATGGGACACTAAACAGCTTTAGCGATAAGGTGTCGCCTTATAAAACCCCTTTTCCTACGGGTGTGTTAAGAGGTAGATAGAAAAGCTGTATTCTTATATTGCGGCTCCGATAGCAGTGAAACAGAGTTCTTATGTACGACGGGTCCACTCTTTGCTTGGCGAGCGCTGATAGGAGTGCATTCGCTTCGACAGTGTTTAACGCTTTTTCATAGCGGGCAAAAGTTAGGACTAGGTATTCGGAACAAAATTGTTTGACCCAGGACACGGTTTATAATTGGTCCATGCAGCAAAACCCTTTTGAAATGCAGCCTGCTCAACTGGTTGCGCATCATTTACAGCTCTCGATATGTGCGACAGGAAAAGTTTGTTGCGTGTACTCAAGGACATCGGACGATTGTTACGAAGACTCCTTCGGTCATTCTTAGATACAATAATCGTGCGCGACGTCTTCAACTGGCTTGTGATTTCCTTCTCTTTGAAGATAGGGTATTATGTGGTTTGCCAGAACCACACGTAAAATGTGGCTTACAGGTCTAAGGAAGTCGGCAGTGGTGCTGCGGATCATGGAGCTGTGTCTTTTTCCATATTTCTATCTCATTTTTGGTTTTTCTCCAACGGAGGTTGTTGGGCCTGAGATGGGGATCGCAGAGCCGAAAAGGTTGGTGTAAAAGTTGTTTTTTGTTTATTGATGTATTGATTTCATATAATAGCAGAAAGCTCTGGCGATAGAGTCTTCATCAATCAATGTTGCTAGCAAAACATAATGATCACATTGTTCCCGACAGCATTTTTCAGACTGCTTTTTTTCTCTGCTGCTTCCGGTATTTCCTTCTGTTTGTACCGTTGTAGATCTTCCTGCAAAGCCCTTCTGCAGCTGGCATTTATTACTAGCCATGTTAAACGTGTTGCAGTAGGATCAAGCTTCAGTTTTCTTTTTTTTCGAGTGACTCCTTAGTAATGATGAGATGCGATCCGATTTCCTTGCTTGAGAAAGTGAGGCGAATTCGGCTCAGCTTTTGAATCTTTCGGTAAGCAGCTCGTAGTCTTCGGCCGGGTCTTCTTTAATCTGCCGGTCACGTTTGGATAGCATTTTATTAAGGATGTTCTCGTTGTATACTACTAAACTTTTTTCTCGTGGTCAATGACATGAATCCTTTTCCAGCTTAGACTGAATCAAATCTTCGCACAGTGATCGGACCTAATATATAATAATGCTTCTACCGATGTATGAAGTAGGAACCATCTTCCCCTTGTCAAAATATGTTCAGTAGTTGTGCCGTTAGGTGACCCCACGTCCAGCGGCAGGCTTCTTATGAAAAACAAATTCTCATGAAAAAGGCATGATACAGGCGGGAGTCTTGCAAAACGGTTCCGATTCAGATTTCTTCCACTCAATCTAAATTTTCTGATTTAGTATTAGTTCTCTTTGGTCTTTCCCATTCTGGCGTTCAAATCTCCGACAAAAAATTTAAAACGCGCAACTTCCCTGATTTGATAATGGAACGCATTTAATTCTTGCTCATCACCTGTATCGGTCGATGAATAGCAATCAGTGATAGTAATTTTCTCATGACGCGTTTGTTGAAGACGAAAGGCGGCCACACGAAGAGAAAGGAACTTTTAAGAGTGGCCGAATTGGGCAATGGATGGCAAAACGATAGTGCCTACACCCCAACGTTTTGTGACAGAATCTTTTCTCTGCGGTTGACACTATGCCCTGTTGTATGTCGGTCTTCTTGTTTTTTGTTTTTTGTAGAACGATCACATGGAACGTGATGCGATCTACTGCTCCTCAACGTTGGGCTCGAAGATTGGTGTCTGTAGAGAGTATTTTGGCATTATACGGGCTGAGTGAAAGCAAACTCCATGGCTTGTCGTACGCTGTTCGTCATATCCAGTTCCGGTGACGTCCTGCGTAACCTGAGATTTTGTGGCGACCTCTCACCGGGTTGTTTCACCGCTTGACGTTATAGACGGGAGCGCCCACTATGTGGATACAGCAGCAGGCCTATTGCTGACTGTTCAACTAGATCTTCTGTAGAATCTTGATCTAACCTTGAAAGGGCGTTTTGAGGTTTTCAACATTAGGTTAATCCGGTGGACGTATTTAATAACTATCAATAAATATTGATGTTAATCGATATTTCGGCAACGATTTCTTCGTTCGGTCTTCCTAATACTTTATTCGGACACGATATTAAAACCGTAATTGAAAACCAAATTAGGGATGCGTAAACAATGCTTCTTACATAATAATAGTAATAGTATAATAAAGTAATAGCAAGGTTATGGTCACTACAAAGTTAAACACTAAAGGTGATAATAGCACTGATTGTGTGCACGGAGCATTTCGTGATAAATGACTATTCTTCTGTTTAAGAATCTCAAGAAATATTAACAGACTAAACTTCTACGAATTGTATTACAATCTTATGAATGCTGATATGTATGCAAAGCTCTGAACTGCAGTTAGGCTTCAAACCCGCAGTTACCCTTACCGGCTACCCACCTGAAAATTCCGCACATTGACTGAGTCCTTCAGTTTGCATTACTCTGTGTGTTTGTTTTTTCTAATGCTTTAACTCCACTGCTGCTATTTCAGTGCGCCCGACTTAAGGCCATTTGATAAACGTATCTTGCCACTATTGAAGAGATAGCACAGTACAACGGTACAAAGTTATCTCATCATAGAAGAAGAACAGCACTGGGCTCGTGTGTAGCAATCACTAGGAAATAATAGGCACTTATCACCAAAAATTTGGAGTGGCATTCTCGTTTTGTCTAAAAATCGCAAATCATGGATGCTGTAAAATAGTTGTCCACTGCACTAAAATATTGTGAATATTTGTTTATATTGTTGAGCTTACACGAGATTGATACATGTTTATTCGGCTCACTTTTCGAAGTGTTCGTCTTCATCAGAGCCGACGATCTTTGTCGAAGGTCCACAGTTGTTCCTCTTCTCAATGCGGTGCCTTCGTCTCGCCTAGAATCGGATCTCCCTCGGTTGAGCATCTCGAACGAGCCGAACACACCCTTGACGCCCTTTTATACAGGGCGGTTTTTGTGGATATGGTTATTTTACTTACTTGATACTTGAACGGCCCGTTCTCACTAGTTGTGAGGGTCCCAGCATAATCACCACTTTTCAGAGATTTGCTGGTTAGGCTATTGTGGTTTCCTGGAATCCCGAGGACAACCTGGCCAAAGTGTGCCCCAAGTCATCACCGTCGCAGCCGTTGTGGATCAGAAGGAGATTTGCCACCATTCGACTTTGATACTAAGACGGTGGCAGATCCTGGTATTGGTTTACTCTTAGCTAGGCTTCTTGATGGAAATGCCGGAGTCCTTCTCAGCTTGCTAGACCCTGCCCGGAGGACGAATCCCCTCGCTGTGCATTGCAGTCCCACACCCAGGAACACCTCCCAGTCGCGATGAGGCGGTGAACCGCTGAGAGGATATGGTTATCAGTTGATGATAATTTGTTTTTCAATTGATAAGCCACCCTGCAGCAGTCGGTATTTTGTTAATTAGCACTTGGCGAATAACAAAACAATAATGTTTTTGAAACCGACCGTCATTTAACCTCGGTGCTATAATAATCAACATTTGTTTATATTGTTGAGCTTACAAAAAAATATTGTAAATGTTGAATTTACTTTAAAAAAAACATAAAATCAAAGCTGTTCCTAGAAGGTTCAGAAAAATGGAAGTTGCGCATGTTCATGAAAGGGCCACTGACTTATTGAACAATGTCGTGGTTAGTAGAAAGTCGGTCCCAGAAAAATAAAATCATAATTTAACTATTCCCATGAAGAATGATTTCACCTGAAATCGGAAATCGAACTAGCAGAAAATTCTGAGTTATCGAAATTCTGTACATAACCTGGTCAAAATTGGGTTTCGATTCACCCTAACGTAGCCAAAGAGAGGCGTTCCTGATTACACACTTTTCAAATTGTTCAGTAACCACCTATAGTGAAAAATGTATTTGGCCCGGCAAACCTGTTCACTACCTGACTGCAGCAGATTTTGAAGCAGGGCTCGGTGGAAATAAAGAAATTAAGTGAGCATAATAGAAATCTGTTTTTCCGAAAATATCGTCATTTCTGTGAGAAACACAAGCCATGAAGAGGCGACACCAACAGAACTAAGCACTTAAAACTAATGGAGACGGCATAAAGAAATATTTTCACTTGTTATCTACTTTATCCTATTGCTCAATTTCTTCTATTTAACCCGTCTTCACGTCCACTGTGCAGATCGCAACACTTCGCACTTTCAATTCGTTTCCTTGCATCACGAAGATCACACTGTTATCACTGTCCACGAAGATCATCCAACTTCACGTGTGGCTTCGGTTGCTGCTTGACGATTTTCATTTCATCTTCAATGTCGTAGAATGCTGGTCGAGCAATTCTCCCTGGAGTCCTGAGATAGCTGGGTTGAAGAGCCTCCAATTGGATTTCAAAGCGTGATTTTTTCCTAGACCAGTCCGGTATCAAATTCCCGACCTCGGAGGGATGAGGGGCTTGGTTGGTCTGCAGTGATACCGAACTAGCACCCTGCTCGTGATAACGGGCATCATTAACAATGTGCTATTCTTCTCCTTACTGCTCAATTATGACTTCTAGATAACTTCTAGACTGAGAAACTGTTTTGCACACAACCGTATGAACAGCTTACTATGATTGCGGATTCTTTACCTCTTGTTTTTTGTTAGCATTTATTACAAACATTGTCGCATGACTACCAGCAGGATGTGCAAATTCGTCAGTCACATCCATGAAATACTTTTAATTATATGTTCTAATTATTTATCAGCAAGCACAAAGCATTCCCAATACACACGTTACCGTGAAAAGTTTTAATAATCCGAATGCTTTGCTTTGGCGAAACCGATACGCGCCTGACCGAAGTCGTGGATGTTGCAGTAGGTACGGATCCAAGGGTTACCGAGAATCCAGCCAGCTCCGTAACTTGCGCTGGCAATTGCGGTAAAGGCCAGAACACACTGAAACAGTCAATTTTGCATTTAAGGCATATAGTTGCGAAAAGTTTCAAGGACACCTAACAATATGGACGTGGTCTTTCTGGCTTTTGCAAATGGGCGAGCTCGTCATGTTCAAAATAGTTCAACATTAGCACCATGAAGGATAAAGGAAATAGCTGTAGGCGTTGATCAATTCCTGAGGGAAGCATCATACTTTCAACCTCGTCGAGCATCATTTGGAGGTGACTGAATGCTTATTTGGCCTTTAGAATGACTCGCGGTTGCCTATCGATGTATCGAGCCAGTGCTACTATCCTCGCAAATAAGTCTGGTACCAATTTGCCAACCCCGCAGAGATGGAAGGCTAGCCACGGAAGCGGTGATCGATCCCATGTGTGCGTCACAGGAAGTCAATGAAGCTACGCCAATGAAGCTACACTTAGGCAATGCATAAGTAAACGTGTTGAGGCAATGCACTTGCCTTTCCTTCTCCGAGTTCAATATCAACCACGTACTCCTTGGATGGTACAATGTATTTTATGCCATTTATGGTAAACTCCAAATCTGGTTGTTCCATCATCGTCGAGCAGTTAACAGTGTACATTTCATTCTCGTAGTCGAATAGGGCACCTGTCTGACTAACCACTTCGTTCATTGCCCTGAATGGCGTTCCGATCCACGAGCTGGAAGTGTCGGAGATCGCCTGCACGTAAAGATTTCTTCAACAAAGGAAAAAAAACCGAGATCAAGATTCAGCATTTCCTTTTGACTTTGTCGAATTCGGTACCAATTAATGTTCTACATAGAAAGCAAAAATAAGCACCTACATCTTGTTTCTGTCTCTGAGTAAAACTTCCAATAGAGAAGCCTTCCATAGGAAATTGCCGACAACCTTCGGCGGACAGAGTAACATAGTTGATTTCCGACTCACAGTTGGTAGTGTCTATGGCTCCATAGGTGACCAATCCGCCATCGCCCCCGGTACACACATTAAGCTGGAAGCAGTTTTTAAAAACAACCAATTTTATCCTAATTAATGAACAAGTTGGTAAACAGTTGGAAAATGGTCTGAGTTCAATTGGACTGATTTCATCTAAGCATAAATCGTTTTTTCTTTTTACTTTTTTACTTACTACCTACTACAATTTTCACAGGAGGATATTATACGAAATTAACCACAACGATGCCAAGATAAACGAAAAACTTCGGCCACCAGCCAGATCGAACCACGATTTCCCTTTCCGGGTAAAAACATTGTGATTTCGACTGCAGCCTCAGCTTAACTGGGTTCACTGCCGATGTGGGCTCCCTAGATCAATCCCGTCGACGGGTAATTGCTGATGGCACTGATAGACAGAAAACTGTCTAAGAGAAACGCAGAGCAAGGGCATCCGTGGCGCAGTGTGTGACGAGCGAGCCCCAGAAGAGGAAACCGTGGTTCGTCTATCTTTGTTTCACTCATTTAGCACATTGGCTGCGATACCGAATTTTTTGTAAATCACGGCTCATGAATGTGTTAAAACACATTGGTTCAAGCCCGAAAAAAAGCAGTTCATTAAAATGATATTTTACAAAGAAGATTATGCATTCTTGGAAAGACAAGGTAACCGCTGTTTTATAAGTTGGCCAACTCCTTACCTACAAGGACAAACTATCGGCAATTTTCGACAATCGGTTGAAAAGGACCAAAAAGGAATAAAGCTCTCGGTGCTGATCAATCCCTGAGGAATGCATCGTTCACTCGACTTCATTAAGCATCATTTGGAGGTGATTGAATGCATATATGGCCTTTACAACGACTCACAGTGGCCTATCGATATATCGCGCCAGTGCTCCCATACTCCATAAGTGTGGCAGCAATTTGCCGACCTCGGAGCAAAGGAATCGATTCCACGGGCCCATGGAACCACTTAAGGTTGCTAATGTATAAAGGAATTTTGAAGTTAAGGTAAATATCAGCAATTGAATAACATTGCAAAACTCTCCATGCACATCCGGTACCACGTAGACAATGGAAAACCTTCCGATCCCTTAAAAAACAATACGAAACACTTCGCTTCCCGCTTCCACCAAATGATTTTGTTAACAAAATAGTGGAGAAATGAAAATCGCATAGAGTTCAAGAAACCGCTGTTCAGGCAGAGTGCATTTCTCTGGCACAACGCACTTTTCTATCAAGCCAGACGGTGAAGATCGGTGCGTCGAGGCTTGGCAGAAGGTTCTCCATTGGTGATCTGGCCTAAAACACCAACGAATTCGTTAAATTTGTTTAATTTTATGGTTGTATATCAAAAATGTCGGTATTATTGGAATATCTATATCGACCACGTCAACCGATTGCTGCCACGAAAGCCCGAGGTAGCCGTCGAGTGGCATGAAAGCAAAAGCATCTGAGACGTCTGCAGCATTAACGAGTCCCTGTTGCTCAATACTCGAACCTGTAAACAAAATATCACCTAATACGGAACATCAAAATATCATATTTTCCAGATTTTTCTACGTGAAAGTTTTATCTATCAAATATCAAAACTGGCGAATTGGTCCGCTTAACTATGTTTAACTATGCAGCGAATTGGAAAACTCAATCACTGCTAAACTACTGAAGATATGAAAAGAGCCAAATATACTGCACCAGAGGCTCGTGTGGCGCAGTGACTGGAGAGGCCACTGCGACACACACGTGGAGTCAATCCCTGCTCCCGTGGCCCGCCAAGCCTTCCATCCATCCGGGGTCAGAAAATTGGTACCAGACTTGTGTGGGAGGATAGCAGCACTGGCTCAATACATCGGTAGGCCACCGCGAGTCATTGTAAAAGCCAGATATGCATTCAATCAACTCCGAACGATGTTTAATGAAGTCGAATGCATGGCGCATCCCTCAGGAATTGATCTACACCGAGAGCATAAGCCCTTTATTTTATGCTGCACCAAGGCACCATAATTACTTTCCAATGACATACTGTCGTGCATACGGCCACCCTCGAGAACAATGGAGCTACATCGGTGATCCTATTATGGCCTACTTATACTTAGTTAGTGTTGTGTTTGTGATATACGCTACAACAAAAAAAAATTACCGGCGAAAGAAACGGTATCCTTCACGACTGGTCCCGTCAACCATCCAGAAGGGTACTGAAGATCTGTAGTGTTTCGATACGGGGAGACCGTTGAAGATTTTGAAGCATCATATTTGCGTCTAGTGTAAGCGCTACCGAGATAGCCATTGCAGGCTCCTGTACCGCACTTCGTGTCGATCACCCAGAGGATCGACATGCTGGTGTCGAGTAAGAGAGAAACATTTTGACCTAAATATGAATATGCTTTAGGCTTTAGTGATGATTCACTCAACAATTACGATTAGTGAGAAATATTATAACGACATGGCAGAATAAAAAAAAAGACAGAATGGAGTAGCTTTTCAACTACAACGATCTAAGACAGCAGATAATAAAATTACCATTCGAAAAACGTTCTTGACGTCGCACTCTGTGCTGAGTCGTTTATAGCACTAGCAACCTCAGTCTCTTCTAAAAAATTTTAGTCTTTTTCGTTTGAAAGATGAGGCATTTTCCTTCCAACTGAAGGTTTTTCTTTCCCCTCTTCATTTTTCTCTGGAAAAAATTTCACCTAACATTCCCTAACTCTCTCGGTAAGATTCCATCCAACAGTACATTCCAGTAGTAATTTCCAAGTATTTTTTTTTAAAGTAAAGTAAAAATTATTGGCTTTTTGAAGATCACATCACTCAATTGGCACTCACCGGGAGTGCCGACCACGACGGTAGTGGTGTAGAATTCATCATAGTAGTCCATGATCGGCTGCGATCCCTTCTTGAGTACCTGAGCTCGGCGTAGGTTTTGCTGTTCCAGGTACTTGTGTTATAAATTAGCCCTTCAAATAAATACAGTAGGAACTGAGGTGATTATCGTATTTCACTTCTCTTGCCTTTCATGATCTTTAAAAAGTCTCTGTTTCTGGTTGGTTTTCTAATTATGAATACTTACACGATTTCAGCCACGAAAATGTTAGGCTACTTTTCAGCGGTTACTTGCGAAGAATGAAGCGTTAATAAGCCGTTTTACCACTCCACATCACGTACGCCATCACTACTCGTGTGCAACGATGACATGATGACAATCCTAATATAGCGGTGACGAATAGGACGCAAAGAGGTGGTACCGCACCACCAATTGGAAATTAAAATTTAAGGCACCTTTGAGATGTTCGTACATCTCTTAATAACTCAAAAGATTCACTTTTTATGAACCTCTGCATAATAATCGATATGCCTGCATATGTGTTCTTATGAGCTGCCCTTTTTTAGCCGACACAAGGTTGGTATAGATGTTCTTACTATAGGGAGCGGACAGCACAGTGGTAGTCCGATTCCGCTCCGGGTTAACCAGGCCTCTCATCTCTCCGGTGTCGGGAAATTAGTACTGGACTTGTCTGCGAAAAAAATCACTCTGCAATCCAATTGGAAACGCTCCAGTCCGGCTATCTCAGGACTCCAGGAAGAGCTGCTCGACCAGCATTATATGGCATTTAAGATGAAATGAAAATCCTCAAGAGCAACCGAAGCCACACGTAAAAGTTGGAAGGTCTTCGTGTACAATGGATGTAGGGAAATGAATTGAATGTAGGAAGTGCTGGGATCCGCACAGTAGACGTGAAGCCGGGTCATATAAAATAAAATTAAAAAAATACCAACCTCGCGTCGTCTAAAAAGGGCAGTTCGTAAGAACATATATAATTTAAGATGTTATTGTAGATTGAGAGCGTCCCTAATTTTTCTCGAAAAAATTCGATGAGAGGAAGATCTTACTTGATCAGACGGGCTTTGAGCGATGCCGAGGAACGAGTCTCCATCTTGTAGGTTTTGGCGTGAAGTACGGTCACTAACGTGGCCAGAGCGAGAATCGCTTTCATTACTGAAAGCCAGAACCTCAAATGCGTAATGTACTTTAAACTTGAAAAATCGATGAAGAGGTGACGTTGTTTTATTACACGCTTTCTTTTTCATGCTTCTGAGAATAGTATTACTTTTTACTGCGTTTTCTTTTTGTACACTACACAAATGTCACTGCTTCTACTTCTAAGCAAACCATTTCAACAATATCTATCCACAACCTTACATCTCCGTTCATTTTTTTGCCAAAAATTGCGATCAATCTTCTTAGAGCTACTGAACTTGTTTTCCAACAAGACGCTTCAGAAACATAGCTTTACCTCAGGCTCAACGACTTTCTTTCCCTTTCAAACTTTAGCCTACGAGATTTCACATGACATTTCGTCGAGTAAAAAGAGTGGACCAGTTTATTGGTCTAATGACTCTTAAGTCCTTGCAAAATAGATTGTATCTTTTATTAACATGGAAATCATTTGAGCTAGTGAGGCACGCAAATCGGAGCGAGTCTTAGAAAACATTATTGCAACTTTTATGAAAATAGAAACAGTCGGAGGCATTACAAGAAAAAAATAAATGAATGAATGAATGGAGTAGGTGCTTGCATTTATATGTGCCTAATCGAAATTCCTTCTTTATCGCCTACCACCTTTTGTAGCTGTTGGCATTTCCGGTGCTCTCACGTGAGAGCTGATAATTTTTCAGACACTTGTGGGAGCTGGTAAGGTCTTATCGTTTCAATGATAATTCGTTGATTGGCCGATAACTAACGCTTTAGCAAGTAGTGACTTCTTTATTAGGATGCTTGCATGACTAGTTTTAGTGTCGTGGTATACTGAACACTCCATTTGTCCAATATTTCTTATTCTTGTAGACAGACGCTACAGATGTCACTGCTTACTTGATACTTGAATGGCCCGTCCTCATTGGTTTTGCGGGCTGCAGCATAATTGCCATTTTTTGGAGAATTGCTGGTTAAGCCATTATGGTTCCCTGGAGTTCCGAGGTCAGCCTGGCCAAAGTCTGCCTCAAGTCGTCACCACGTCAGCCCGTCGCAGCCGTTGTGGAACAGAAGGAGATTTGCCATCATTCGACTTTGATGCCAAGACGGTGGTGGTTTCTGGTGCTGGTTTACTCTTAGCTAGGCTTCCTGATGGAAATGCTGGATCCTTTCTTAGCTTGGGAGACCCTGCCGGGAAAACGAATCTCCTCGCTGTACATCGCAGTCCAACACCCAGGAAATCCTCCCAGCTTCAATGAGGAGGTAAACCGTTGGGAGGACAAATGTTATTAACCTTTGAAAACTTTATGGTGGTTTTGCATTATTTTCAATAAGCTAGGCATTCAAATCCAAATATCCTTTAAGAATGATACAGGTTCGATCACCTGTTTCATCTGATCTGGAAGGCTCCATAAGGTGAAATTATTAAGACATGTTAGGTAATAAACTGATTTGTACCGTGAATGAGGGTTAAGGTAATTTGACGAATTCTGTTTAAAAAGTAATCAATGGTTAACGAATAAAATTTATTATTATTCATATATTATTCAATTTTATCATTCATATAATTTATTATTCATTAATTATTTATTATTCAGTTCATAGAGCACAACGCTGCAGCCGTAGCTTATATTTATCTTCTATTCCATTTTTTATTATAGCTTGGCACGATGTGGGAACTGCAACCAACCGATTTGTGCTCCCCAGTTCATCCTTGCTGACCGCTTATTGCTGATACCACCGCTAGAGTAAAATATCAGTTCATGTGGAAGATAGCACGTGTGTCTCCTGGAAGTGCGATCGTTTGTTCGTAACCCAACTATGTTCTCAGCTTTGTTCATATCTTGGTACCTTTGTGGTTATACGAAACCACTTTGAATTCGTTGAGGTATTAATATCATATTTTGGCATATTTTCAAATTTTTTAGTACGCTTTAACTTAAGTTTAGCGTGGTCTCATCTTTACAGTGTCTAATGTTGAACGTATGGTCTTGACAAGAAGCTTTTCATGTGAGCCATTCGAAAAGGCGGAATGCATCGAACAAGAGAAAACGTCACGACGAGCAATGAAACGGTTGTGATAGCGTCTATACGATATCGAAACGACTGAAGAACAGTGTACGGAAGATTACACTTCCTAGCACTGCTAAAGGTTAAATTCATTGCATCCCGAAAATTGTAAAAGTTCAAAACGTTTATATGTTATAGAAAGACTGGATCACGATGTGTTAAGAAATATTCAAGAAAGTATTTCAACCCTTTGTCAACTACCATTATGACCTACGTTTCGAGCTGATTATTGTTGAATACTCCTTGAGCCATTATTGATAAATGTGATTTCGAGGAAACCATTAGTACACTCTTTTAAATGGGAATAATTTAAAGCCATTATCACGGAGAATTTTGAAGGGCAGATCTCTGAAGGCCTCGCCAAACGCTTACCCCTGAACAAAGCCAGGTTTAGAAGCACATGTAAATGTTGATTATGAAGAGGTACATTGTAAAAGTTTCGTAGTGGCTATCTCTTAAAAAAGGACGCGTGTGGCGTAGTGCTCGGAGGCGCCCTTGCGACACACACGTGGAATCGATCTCCGCGCCTATGGTCCCTCCGGGATCGACAAATTGGTACCAGTCTTGTCTGAGAGGATAGTAGAGAACACTGGTTCGATACATCGGTAAGCCACCGCGAGTTACTGTAAAGGCCAGATGTGCATTCAATAACCTCCAAACGATGCTTAATGAAGTCGGATACATGGCGCATTCCTCAGGGATCAACGCCGAGAGCCTTATCCCTTTACCCCTTCTCTGGACTCTCTAGTTTGGCTTCGGCTCTTGTATTTACGGATTACATGCTTTGAATAAATTGTAGGTCTAAAGGTGAAAACGTTTCGGAACGCTCTGTAGCTATCGACGATAGCTAGACTGTCTGAAACACACATGGGCAGACTCAACGCACATGTGCACAAACCGATTAAACTCCGTGTTAATGCCCTGTAACAGATCAGAAGCAGGTACACCGACGTGCTCTATTTATATTGTAGAATTAGTTCTCATTAATGAAGAAATGACTCTATCAAGAAGTGTCGGCAGCGTGAGTTCGTTGCATATTCGTCAGTTATCAAAAATGTCGTTCCATACCTGCCAAAAGACCTGTGAGAACTATTCTCTGTCTCCAACCTCCGTTTAAAAAAAAAAAGGCAGTTGAGTAACTGATGAGAGTAAACTGGAAGCGTTCTACAGCCAGCTAGAAAAAGTAACTCTGCAGCGAAAAGTACTTCTATGAAATCGTTCTTGCTGATTTCAAAGCCAGATTAGAACAAGCCAACGAAACTGTTTTTTCTGTTGAGTTTAGTAGGTTGGTAGGCT